GGCTATGGTATCTTCGCTCAGGGGTGCAAGGGAGCTAAGTCCAGCTGAGTAAAAGATGCAAGGATGCTCGCAGCCTGACAGAAGAACGCGACTCCTTACCGCTGCTCGTCAATGTGGCGGTTGTAGCTGGGACGAACTATAAGGCGGCCACAACAGCTAGAAAGAATCAGCTTTCGAGAACTTGCCTTACATGGTTCCTGACTCGACGAAGAGCAACGGTCTCTCTGTCTCGCGATGCAAAAAGCGCGTCCACTGGTGAGACCCCTCGTCAGCAGCCCCTTCAATGGGACGTGGGAAACAAGTTCAGGGAAACTACATACACGATGGGCATGTTTATCCAGGGCTCTTCGCTACCGTTTTCTGGTGAAACGATGCCAGGACTAGGAATTCTTTTTCCGGCCACCGGGGGGAAAAAGCTTTGTATGAAAGGAAGCTGCTTCTATAGTCGCTGATGAAGCTTACCCGATGCACCAGGGGCATTCGTGAGCGGCCAAAACCAAAAGACCGTTCTCCGGTATTCCCATTGCATCCAGCACGTGGCAGAATCCCTGAGTGCACAAAGGCTTGAACATTGCATCCTGCCTCCACCCAGAGCCCTGCATAATCTCGCAGGTTTCTTTCGCCGAACCAGCCGAAGTCTCGCCGGAAAGACGCGAAGCCGCCCCCGTCGAGGTTGATGCTCCCCTGCGCATCTGTGAGAGCCAAAAAAAGTGTCAGTCTCGACTCGGAGGCAGGCCTCGAAGCGAGCACCAGAGTCAGAGACCTGCAAGCAGAACTGCCCAACGGAACGTGTTTCGAAAAACAGGTCCAGGGCCTAAAAAATCTCTTGGCGTGCCTGGAGATTGCCGCTGGACCGGCCCCCCATCCTTGGCATCGATTCTCGTCCACAGTAGATACGCTTTTGATCATGCGGAGCGGGTGGGTGGGGGTGGGGGGGGGGGGCCAACTGAGACAGGGAAGTGACGACGAAATAAGCAAAAGACTTTAGCCCGGCTCCGCAACTCTGACTCAAGACTTTCAGCTTCCCGAGTTAAGCAAACTCGATAAGCACTAGCCGCAGCCGGCAGCAGAATGCTCTGTTCCACAAAGCTGGCCTGGACCAACCCCGCCAAGATGTGACATTTTATGGGTTGCGGGAAGTGTGTGAACACAGCGCTCCAACCACCGGGGCCGCCAAGTTCAACGAACCGCAGCTGCTGCCAGGGAGCACCCCATCGTTCTGAACGAACCAGCCGGCAGAAGACCACTCTGCGAGGTCGACGACTGCTCCCTCTGCAACTACCAGGCACCTTCCGTGACTTTCAGGGTGATTCAGGACATTTCAAGGCCTTCTGCCAGACTTGCCTGCAAGGCAGGCTGCAGGCATATAATGGCATATACATCCATACATACAAGGTAGCTCAACAAAGATATCTACCGGCACATCGCAAGCTCTCATGTCAGCTTGCAGGGCGCGAAACGCAGAATACCCTGCAGCTCGTGCAAAAAGATTCGTTTTGCAGAAAGCAGCAGATTCTGATGGCTTGCAGTATCTCATCTTTCAGCTACGGAGGCTTTCGTGTCAACCTTCTCAGGCCCGGCACCAGATGTAGCCCACCAAACTGCGCGGAGAGCGTGCCATGGCGAGTTGCTACAACTGCCGCTTCACGGAACAAAGGATCCCAATTATTCCTCTGCACCTGATCCCGTCGGAAGCAATGACAACCGACCATGTCTTCAAGTCACCACATGTCACGAAGGATTGCTCAGGCTTGTCAGAAGCCGCTTCAGCTTAGGACCACATAGCAAGCTGACGTCAACAAGTGTCCGGGACGTGAGTCATGTGATGGCGCATGATGGCGCATGCCACGTCACACAGCGTACGGCACACTTCTCGCTAAATCTGCCGAGCTGCCGGGACCGGGCCCGAGCCCAGGCCAGATTCAGCTGAGGCTGCCAGGCGGGGCGGGGCACCGAAGCTCGACATGACTCGACTGCACTGCACGAGTGCGCACGTGCAATCTGTGATTCTGCGATCTCCTACTCTCTGACATGTCGTGCTTTCCCCTTCCAACGACGTATTTCTTCACCTGTTGGCCGATTGTGATCGACACTCCCGAATGCGCCTGACGAAGACCATCCCGTGGTCGCCGCTGATGACAAGCCTTTTGGGGGGCATCATCATCTGAGTTAAAATAAACCTACTCGGTCGAAGCTGCATGCACAGGGGAACACAGCAAATTGCCAGAAGCAGACTGACAAACAAAAGCTCTTGAATGCTCCGATCCTGTCGCCACTCCCTCAATGAAAGAAATACAGAACTGAGGACCCCACCCAAGGATCACGGAAGCGCTGATGGCCTGGACTTTGACAGCAAGCGTTCAACGACATCTCGGTTGCTACAAGCGTAGGATTTATCTAACATCAGTCGGCGAGAATACACACAGTGTGGACACATGTGGACGCTGTTTCAGGGAATTACACATCAGCGGCAAAAGTACAAATCATCAGATGCTAATCCGCATGTATGTAGACGCTAGTCTCAAAGTCGCGCAGGCTGAATTTTCAGGATATGCCGCTGACGCTGGGCTTTCAAGTACTTTTCATTGCCTTTTAGATCATACTCTGGCAGTAGACGCTGCTCTTCTCGCCCCATGAATCGATGCCTTTATCGAAAAGCGCTCGAAATCCATTCCGAATTTTGATCCTTTGGCTGCAACCGCGGTCCACACATCGAGCACTGGTTTTTGGAGCGACAGCAATGACATCAAAACCGGCCAATCCCCATGGAGACACTCAATTCGCACATGCATGCACAAGACACTCATCAGGGCATCACGGCACGTCCAAACCAGCCATTCCCAATGTAGACGCTCGATTCCACAAGCATGCCTGCGAGACATACATCACGCACATCACGTGGCATCATAACACACTTCTTTTTTGCTAAGGCCATGCGCGCTGTCTTGCGCGCTAACTCTACGGTTTGTCGCAGAGTTCGGCCTAGCTCTACAAACTTGAACTGCGGCCCAAACAGTGACCCTGCGGTGTGGTCTGACAAGCTTGGGTAGTGCCTGTTAATTATGGTGTTCAACCAATACGGAATCGGCTTACCTCTCCTGCGACCCTATGTCATAATGCGGTCTTTCAGTGCCGAACAGAAAACAACATTATGTAACGGGTCTTCCATGTAACGGGTCTTCCATGCTATGGCTGTATACCTCCACCAGCATCTTGTGCTGGGTGGCATTCAGAAGGTCCCCCGCGCGGTGTGGTCTACCTGCTTGATTCCAAACCTCCGAGTTTGGGATTCCGGAATAATAGTAAGCTGCTTTGATGCCCAGCACCCGCCTTAGAAACCTGTAGTATTGGCCGTTCACGGTCTGCAAGTTTTGTTCTGTGAGGCAAAGGGAATCCAACCCATAGAGAAGCGAGGGAACTATTGTGGAGTGAAAGATGTGAAGTTTGCGTGGTCTGCTCATGCTAGAGTTCCAAACCAACCTCGGCTTTTTGAAGTCAGATTCTGCCAGAGCCAGCCTATGGTGGAAGGCTTCAAAGAAGGGCCTATCCCAGGAAATCATCGAGCCCAGTTTTTTGGCTTTAGTGGTCTTAGGCATTTTTTCACCTGATGTGAAGAAAAGATCCCCTTGGGTTCCCGGTTTGGACAAGTGTTCGGTTTTGGTTTCGTGAAGAGGCATCCCATATCGGACTGCTTCAGTCTCTAGCATCGTCAGGAAGCACTGCAGCTGCGGTGTGGTCAAGGAAATCAGAAGCGTATCGTCCGCCTTTTCCAAGTCTTATGTGGGATTTTCCACCATGACACACGTTAACACACCAAAACCAGCCACTCCCAATGTAGACGCTCGATTCACAAGCGCACGCACAACACTCATCAGTGGCATCACAGCGCGCACAAACCAGCCATTGCCCATGTAGGTGTGGCTCAGTCTCTAAAGGTCCTGCGTATGTGTGTCTGTGCGCGCGCTTACCTGGTGCCAAACAGTGTGACCGAGACTGGTTTGGATGAGCTGGACCCATTTTTCATAGGGCCATGTGAAAGACACAAGTGGCGTCACGGCACATCGCAACCAGCCATTCCGCATCTAGACACTGGATTCCACAAGCGCCCACTCGAGACGCACGTCAATGACAGCACACCACATCAAAACCAGCCATTCAGAATCTAGACGCTCGATTCCACAAGCGCCCACTCGAGACGCACATCAGTGATCATCAGTGGCAGCACAGCACATCAAAACCAGCCATTCCTCATCTAGACGCTCGATTCCACAAGCGCCCACTCGAGACGCACATCAGTGTCATGACAGCACATCAAAAGTAGCCATTCCTGATCTAGAAGCTCGAATCCACAAGCCGCTCGAGACGAACATCAGTGGCAGCACACCACATCCAACCCAGCCACTAGACGCTTGATTCCACAGGCGCCCACTCGAGACGCACGTCAGTGGCCATTCCCCATCTAGACGCTCGATTCCACGTGGAACCATCGGATCGTCACAAATAGATGTGGTTGATTGGACGCTCATTGATATGTTTTTTTTCACTCAGCGATGCGAGATAAAGCGACCCTCCTGCAAATGCTTGGGTTTCTCCGACACATCCAATCTGTTCTGGGTCGGTCTGGTAACCATGAGCGGCCGCCGATTAGCGGCGAGGTGGAACTTGGCGACGCCACTTTGAGAACCCGAAAGGCTCGCTGCAGGCAAAACCCCCAGGGTTTGCATTGAACCTGGCCTTTGCGGAAGCGGTGGTGGCCTTTGAGGCGGCCTTTGCCCGCCCGCAGAGCAAACCTGACAAGCAGAGAGAAGGATTGAGTTTGAGGTTTGGGGGAACCCTGCAGCCCTAACCCAAAGGTGGGTCATGTCCCTGTCATAGAAAAGTGGGGCGTACCAGCAACGTGCGCATTGAGGCAGTCAGACGTGGCCCGCAGCAAGTCCGATCTTAAAGGCCTGCGTCTCCCGTGCCTTTCTCCTCAAAGCTCAAAGCACTGGCAACTTCGACTACAGGTCGCAGAACAGCACCCCGCTCGTAGCAGGGCTCCCAATGACAACACGTCCATCGAGGCCAAAGGCACTGCTGACGTCACTCAGCAGTGAGCCGTCATGCAGCAGTCGATCCTGCATCTGGACCTCTAAGTCTTGTCTGTTGAGGCCTTTGAAGCCTGTGACGCGAATCTCCAGCAACCCTCCCGGCGACCGGTGACAACCGATAAAGCCTGAGCGCCCCTCGAGGTCTTGGATCGGCCAGGTCATGCCAAAGCCACCCTCGCAACCTGTCCCCGTGGTAAAAACAGTAGGTATCGAACCGGCGTGGAGGACCACCTCATCCGGATTCACCCCACTTTCCACGACCTCCAGGTTGTCCACGGCATGCTTTGGGTTGAAACTCAGAACCTTTCTCAAGCTCTCAGACCCGCCCTCGCTCTCGATCCGGTAGATCACAACCTCGTTTGCAGCCGGATCTGACAGGAACACGAAACGACGATCCGGCGTGATTGCAAGACCATTCGCCATCACAAATCTATCTGCAGTCGCGGCCGCACAGGACCAAGGCATGCCCACGATCTCCGTTCGGACGCACTTCAGCAGTCTTGTGCGCCGTGCTTTCAAAAGGATCATGACCCGGTGCCTCATCATCTGCCATGCTGAATAGTGTCTAAAGCCGGTAACATGGTCATGATCCAGCCACTCTGTCACGAAGAAGCTGCTGCCATCCAGGGCAGCCTCCACGACATCGTTCAAGGCCAAGCGCTGGAACTCTGCGGACCTTACGGTTTCCAGATGCTCCAAAAAGAAAGAGTCGTGAAAGCCTTCGGAGACTTCGGAGCCCACGGGCATCCCTTCGTGAACCAAGAATACCTCGACCGACGTGAAAGCCACACGGTGGCAGACCGCGTAGAGCCGCCGAGAGCTGTTGCTGTAAAAAATTCCATGATACACTTGGTCCGCCGGATCGCTGCTGTATGCAACATGCCCCTGACCTGGCAGGTGCTTAAAAACTTGCAGCGCCTTGACTTCTTGCTTCTTGGAGTCCACCAAGACCACATGGTTGCTGTGGCTCCTGTTATCTCGACTGCCCTTAGCACCCAGCAGGGCGCACTCCCAAACATGGCCGGTGGCCCCGAGTAGGAGGCCGCGATCCTGGTCCAGAACGGTCAAATCCTCGACGGGTGCTTCCAAAGCGGCCTTCCAGCACCGTTCGGGCGGCTGCTGCGCGAAGCTGCCATGCCCGGGCCCGAACTCCAGCGAGGCAACCTTGGTGTAGCCAAGGAGACGGCCAAGGCGCCTGGCCTGGTAGGCCATGGCAGCTAGGAGAGCAACTCCCGCAACACCGCGCAGCATGGTTGCAGTGCGAGCCTGCCGAAATGTGCACAGTCTATTTGGTTGAGTTGCCACAGCTGCGGATGAAACATGATGAGATGGCTGTTTCTTACAACTGACAAGTCTGCTTCTGTCAAGGACGGACGCACTGTCACACATCCAGAAGTCTGAACACGCCAGGCGGCCCAAGGCCGGCATCGGACCAAACCGAGGCCAGCCTTCAGTCTCTGCAGCAAGGAACCAACAGCAAGGAGACAGGAGGACATAGGGAAAGAGAGCTCTAAAGAGCTTACAACATCCAAACCACAAGCAGCCCCCCCTTCCCAGATGGGTCTTGAAACGCGGCTCTGCACCAAGAGAGCAGGCCGGCTATTGAGGCAGGGACAGAAGGAGGCTCAGGAGAACCGCGCGGCCAAGCCAGCGAAGCCTCCACAAACCACAGACTCAGGGAAGCTCGCTTGGCTCCGAAAATCTCTGCGGCAGCCTTAGGCCTAAGGTTCAGACAGGAGATTTCAGCAAGATTGGATGCTCACAGTCCGCCAGCCGTCCAGGCACAAAGCATTTCGGGTGCCAGAATCCGGGAACTCTCGGGCGGGAGCAATCGGAGAGTCAGCCCCCTGCCTGCAAGAATTAAAACCAGTGCAGCATTCGGAACGGTCTCGTGCCATCGTGGGCCTGAGATTGAAAATGCTGAATTGTGCAAGACAAAACGAGGCACCGGCAGGTCAACAGGATCGGGATCTGCTCCAAACGTTGCAACGGTTGGGTTTTCCGTGGAAACCTCGCCTATGCCAAGAGTCAGGATCCCACTCACTCGACAACAATCCGCCACTGCTTCACCCCCCCCCCCTCCCCGCGAAGATGCAAGCTGACGTCACGAGCAAACGCTCACGAAGCAGAGATGTGTGCGGCCCAGGGTCTTTTCGCTGCACTGGGCCCCAAGTGCTGCGCTGCCACTTGCTGTTGCCAGGCTTCTCCCAACATATGCGAAGCCGGCTTGCCCAGCACTGGTTTACGGTTGTCACGGTGATTATGTCTGCGATACTACTTAAAGGCTTAGAACGTGAGAGGGCTTGCAGCAGTCGATGCTCTCCGGCAGCAACATGCGACAGCAGCACCTAATGCTGCGATTGGGCCATGGATCACGGTCACGTCTGCTCGGGTTGCAAGATGTTCTATACCAGAAGTCGTTCTCACCTATCGCCTTGAGGGCTTTGCTTCTCTTTCTGGCACTTTTCCCCCACGAAATTCCCGCGCAGTGCCGTCAGCGAGGAGCTGTCGAGCTCCTCGGCAAGGCGCGGTCCCGAAACTCTGAAAGCAGCACCAGAGGCGCCTGCCCTTGCCTGGCTCTCCAGGGCGGCAGCATACGCTGCCGCACCAGGGGCCAAGCGGCTCTGGCCAAACAGGCCCAAAACCCAGGCCACGAAGTGCACAGAACCCGGTTCAGAGACGCTTTCGGAGCCCAGCGCAGAGCCCAATGCCGCACCAAGCAAAGTGGCCGTGAGGATTTCCGGCCTCCACCAGAACTCCTCACCAGGGAAGAGCCGGATTGTGGAGAATCTGATCAGAAGGATGCTTCCGGCAGCCTATGCCAACACAGTCCGACGATCGAACAAGCTGAGCTATACCCTACCCTCTACTAATTTACAGTGCAAAGCTGCTAGGATGCGGCACTCTGTCTGCGAGATCGTCATCTGCGTGCTCTCCATGGTCCATGGTTTCAGCCCGTGCAACGTCTGTGCAGTGGCAACAGTCTGAGCAGTGCAAAGTGGTCCACGGTATCTCTGGTCATTTCCAAATCAGTGGCGGTCAAGACCAAACTAGAACGATCTTTGTTGCCATGCTCCGCCCTTTTCTGTTTGAAGCGAGAACAAGGACAGCATTTGCGTTCAAAACTTCACATATCCCCCAAAAGCACTTGGTCAACGCCGATGCCCCCTCACCTTCCCCTTCAATGTTACTAGCACAGAGCTCAAACTACACAGAGCTCTACCCACTCCCGGGCCAAAGCAGCAACACCAAGGGCCAACGCCCTCTCATGTCAAGTCAAGTCAAGTCAAGTCAAGTCAAGTCAATGCCTTTCTACTCCTTTGGAACCGAAGCCGAAGCTGACTCAGAGTTTGGTGCGAAAAAGTCCAGGTCCTCCAGCAGGGCCAGGGCCACGTGCCACTGACCCTTGCAGGCGCTCAGGGTGGCGCCGTAGGTGAAGGGGTTGTTTTGCAATCCCATCGTAGCCATCCTGCGACATGCGCTGAGTGCACTTTGCCATCTCCGCCCCTTCTCCTGGGCGCTCATCTCCAAGCTAACGGAGATTGAATCTATCCGGATGCTCTCTCGGGACATGCTCTGGCACAAACACAAGGCTGTTTCCCACTGCTGGCTGGCTGTGCATACTCCGATAGCACTGTGATAGCTGATCTGGTCCGGGGCGATGTGCCCAGCCTGCATGGCATGCATGAGTGCCAAAGCACTCTCCCATGATGACTCACACGCTGCTATCGCAGCATTGTAAGAAATTATATCTGGGGTGACCCTCTTGTCAGTCATGCGAAACAGAATTTGCAGAGCCTTCTCCCATTGGCTGCACTTCTCGCACGCACTCAGCGCTGCATTGTAAGTGCAGGCATCTGGGCTCAACCGGAAATCCTGTAGAGCTTCAAGCAAGAGCACAGCCTCCTCCCAACGGTGTGCTTTCTCGCAGACACTCGCAGCTGTGTTGAAGGTGATCGTGTCCGCATAGCAGCCGAATTCCCCGCTGGCTGCCAGCTGGGCCAGAAACAATGACTCACGCCAACCTTCGCATGAGATCGCTGCATTCAGAGTGACAAGGCCTGTACCATGCAGCCGCTGCTGCAAGATGCGCTGCCATTTTGTGCCACTGACGCAAGCTGTCACCACCGTCCCCAACGTCACGGTGTCCGGTTGCATGCCTCGCTGATCCAGGCCCATAAAGGTGTCGAAAACCATCTCCCAACGCTGACGGAAAACGGCGCCGACAGCGTTGAGTGTCACAAGGCTCCGCTGTAAACCGTGGAAGCTCTGGAAGAGCTCCAAGGCGTCGCCCCAGAGAGATTCTCCCAGCGGGGTGCCGCTGCCACAGGATGTAATCAGGGAATTCTGAGTGATGACGTCCGGCTGCATGGCACTGTAGCCCAACAGCCCAAGGTGTCGAAAGGCAGCTGCCCACTCAGAGCTCCGCTCACATGCAGTGATCGCACTGTTGAAAACGATGACGTTTGCCTCACAGGCCCTTGTCCGCAATCTTTGCAACAGAATGCAGGAGGGCAGCCAACGATTGGCTTTGGCGCAGACATCGACTCCGGCTCCCAGGCTCATCACGTCCGGTGCCACAGTCCGGTCCTGCAGGAGCAGACAGAGCATACACCCTAGATCTGCTGCAGCATTTCTGAATACGACTTAACCTGCTGCTTCAACTTCGTCCTCCATGTTGCAGAGTGTGGCGATGGCGGCTGGCCATGCCTTGGCGGCGGCCCTGGCACAGGCCCGCACGAGAGCCGTGAAGGCGACGACGTCCGCCTGGAGGGACGCCTCCCTCTCTAAGAGGAGCAGACTCAGGGCCTCTTGCCAACGCCTCTGCCGTCCCAGAGCAGAAAGCTCGCCCGTGAGCCCACGCAGCCGCAAGTCATCTCTGAAGGCACAAGAACGCGAAGGCACTGAAGGCACCATGGACTTCCAGCAGACCAGCTCGGCTCGAGCATCGGCAGAGGCTTCGATTGATCGAAAGAAGAGCAGAGTCGGCAGTGGAACGGGGCACTTTTTCGCTGCCGCTCTCTTGGCGCTCCCAGCGAGCGGCAGATCTCTGCTTTATCCTTGGTGCGGAGACAGCAAGATCACATGCGATGTTATCGCATACATCTTAGCCTTGTGTTGTGACGTGAGTCTTGAGGCAAGCACACCACGCCGTTACAACAGAGATAAATCTCATGCTCCAGGGTGTGCGGTTGATGCGAATTTCTCATGAATCCAGGACTCAACTCCCGATGATCTCGAATCCGCTGTTCTGCCACTTCCAGACGCCTGGGCTGCTGCCGAAGCAAAGCCGTTACAAGCATGCCCAATAACTGTTTCGGAAACATGCTGCCATATTTGACTTGCTGCTTGGCTTGAGCAGTCTGCAAGAATGTGTGAAAGCAGGAACTCTTCTCAGATGATCTGCATGACCAGATGCGCTTGCATCTCTTCCAACTCCACTGAGATGTTGGACCTGTATACGCTCGTACAGACTCGGTGCTGAAATCGACTTCCTTCATCGGTAGATCGGTAGTGCATGCCTTCTAAGGAGTAGCAAAAGCTGTCATCAATTAATGCCAAAACTCGAATGTGCACTTGTTTCAAAGGCCAAGCGTCTCGGGATCTGCAGCCTGCTGGGGCTGGGAAACCGTCTCTGCATGCAACATGTGCCGAACAGTATGCAAAAAAAACATTCTCTCATTGCAACTTGTAACTTGTTCTTGCTCGTTTGACCGCAAATGCACCGCAACACTCAGAAGGAAGGCGGCCTGGGCTGCTTGGAGTGCGCGCAGCTGCCGTGTCAGACGATCACGCCGCTTAGACATCTCCTTCTTGAGCACGGGAACATGCAGTACATATGTCAGGTGCATCCGATCCCCCGAAAAAGCACCTGCAGCCGGCTCCGTGCAGAAAGGTCTATAGCATCAAAGGGCTCCTGCAAAAGCCGTCGGCAGCAGGATCGAACACGATGTCGGGATGTATTCACAGGCAGAAGTATGACAAACGCACCGTGACACGGCCTGCAAGGATGTTCAAATTAAGCACTTAATGACTGCGCTCCGCCACGCGCTGCAACCACGCTGGTCGTTCGAAGGGCTGTTCGGCCTCGTCCTTCACCTCGCTTGGGAATCGCTGGGACACCATACAGTTCAACCGCTACATAATCCAGATCCACAAGCCCGGGCTCTACAACCGGGCCCTGCAGGTCAGCTCAGACGAGAGTCTGTCCCCCACAAGCCGCGTAAAACGGCATCCCTCACCCCACAATCCTTCCGACACGGAGATCTTCTGCTGTAAGACTGGGCCTTCAGCTCAGAACGCTGGAGCTCCCGAAGTTAATACAACCCAAAACCCCAAACCCGAAAATCGAGACGCAATTCCGCGACATGTGTAAAACAAGTACCCAACAAATCCAAAGAGGGTGCTAAGCCGAGCGAGGACAACAGTCATTGCACACCATCTGCCAAAAGATCGAAACAAAACTGAGCACGTGCAAAAAAATGCGTGCGGCCCGCAAGCTGCTTTGGTGAGGCTGCCAAACTTTGCTCCGGTACCTCGGTAAAAAAACTTTCGCAGTCGAAACTGACGAGGGACGACAGGATCTGCTCATGACTCACCTCCAGCATTCTCGATTTACCCATACTTGACAATGTTCAGCTTCTTATGCTGCATAGAAACCTGAATGAAGTTCTGAATTGTTCCCAACAAAATGACAGCGGTGCGTGCCGTGACGTTGATGTCAAGAGACATCGAAATGTGCCACTTGCTGATGCGCGCGGGGATGCGATTCGATGAAGCCTCGTCCAAACCCCAAGGCGACACATTTCATGGTGGAAGGACATTCTCATGGCCACAATCGAACTGTACATAAGATGTGAATCAAACCAGAGCATTCAACATTCCTTACACTGTCTCCAATTGCGAACTCTGTGAAGTTTGGTTGCTTTCACTGCTTGGAGCGCATGTGAATGCTGATCATCCGATCTTGACTCCTGGTGTTGCATCCAGCCGCTTGCCAAGCAACGGAACTTGCCCACCAACGTCTGTTGTAGTCATCGAAGTAGCAGTAGTAGTCGTCGTCGTCGCAATAG